AGGGAATTTATCAATTATGGTAGACCCTTAACTATTTATAATTCACCTTTTTTGTACTTTTAATTCATTATTTGTTAGCTTATCAAAAAACATTAGATGTGATGTCGTAGCTTTTAATATAGCATGACTATATACCAAAATATCAATGTACAGAGAAGAAAACAAGAAGAGGGATATTATAGAGGGGAAAAAAGCCTATGGAAAGAAAACTATAACAGTTTGAGGCTGCCACAGTAACCACCACCCAATCTACAACATATAAAGTATAATAATAATAATGATAATTTCACTGGGGTCCTTCTGGTGGTGATTGGGCAGTATACCGGGAGAAAATCCCCTACTCACATAGGACCAACGGCATAAAAGTCTCATCCGAAAAACTTGTATTTCAGGCCCTAAACCTTACCGCTCGCTCAAACTCACAGCTCAGGTCTTGGTGAATTTGATTTTGTTTACCTTCAGTGCTCTTCAGCAGTCATCCATCCAACCGTAATGCCCTGTAATGTTCCTAATGCACGCAGGATATAATTTATGTACAGTATAATATTTGATGGACTAGACAGTTTGTCAATTGATTTCCATTCCATTGCACCTGAACAGATCTTCCAATGTCAATAACCCTGGGGCCAGTTCAGCATCCTATGGAACTTTTTATGCCTAGACAGACAGACCAATAATCCTAATGCATTGAAGTTTTGATTTTTAGACAGTAAATAAAATTAATTTTTGTTTAGTATGATCAACATTTTTCATCAATTTCAAAGTTTAAAGCATACTCTTCTGTAATCCTATCCCTCCCATTTTATTTTCATTCATTTATTTCTTCAGATGATCATTCATCATTCATCCATCCATCCATATACTTGCACTCATTCATTATTTTCATTGATTCAGTCATTCATTCATTTATACATTCATTCATTCATATTGTACATACATTCCTTCATTCATTCATTTACTCCTTAATTCATTCATTCATTCATATTGTAGGCATTTTATTAATTCATTTTATTCATCTAGCATTTCATTCATTCTTTCATTTATATATTCATTCATTCACACAATTTTTTTTCATTCATTTATTCATTTACTTATTGATTTGCTCATTCATTTATAAATTCATTTAATGCTTTTATTTTTACATTCATTCATATGTTTTTTTATTAATTATTTACATGGTGGATAATTTCTTTTATGTCTACATTGTATTAACGGTAATTTTTAACATTATACTGTTTAACTACAAAGAATACTGAATTCAATTATTTATTAATTATCTTGTTTATATTTTCATGCATCTTACCTCAGTAAATGTCAATTTAGAGTCCTACCAAATAATTAAAATTGAAGAAATACAGATCTGCTGTTTATCGAATAATTAAATAACAATTTACAACAACATGGCAAATGTTTAACGTATCCACAACTCTTATTTTTACAACTATGTGATTGTGAGCATGTGTGGAGAATTAGCATTGTGACTTGTTAAACTGGCTTTGTTAATGAACCAATTCATTTTATCACTAACAGCAGCTCAATCAATCAATCAATCATTTGTATTGCGCCAATTCCAAGAATTATTATTAAAGGCACATTGAAGTTTGGTGAACAAATAAGTCTTTAAGTTTATTTTAAAAGAATCAAGGGAGGATGAGTCTTTAGCAAATGATGGTAGTTCGTTTCACAGAGAAGATGCTCCACAAGAAAAAATATGACCACCGTAAAGCTGGTTTTCCACTAGGCGAATTTATTCGCGCGATTCAAAGGCGTCGGTTCGGTTCCTGAGCTCTGATTGGTTGCACACTTTTTCGCTTCGCAAAAAGTAGAAACAGTTTGAACTACCAATTTCGCTGAAGCGAAAACTCCGATAGGAATGTGAATGCGCATATGCATAAACGACGCTTTCAATTCGCGCGAATAAATTCGCCTTGTGGAAGACTGGCTTTAGTCTTAGTACGGAAACAAGGAACAGCTGCTGTTGTTGTTATTATTATAAGTGAATTATTTACAGAACATGTGAGTCAGAAATTTTAAAACAGACTGATATTTTTGTTATCTCCATATCCAATTTATTTATTCATTAAACATTTATAGCATAAATAATTTTATGAAATCTAGTAGAAAAGTCAGTACAGTATAACATAAAAATTATTATAGAAAATAAGATTCATATTATGTCTGTTTTTCTCCCTTTTTTCTTTAATCTAAATATTTATCTCAGTATCTAATTTATACATAGAAAATGGAAACCACATTTTTTCCTAAAAACAATATTGTAACTTAAATGATTTATAAACTAGTTGTCTGCTCCTTAATATGCCTCACAAAAACAATTCTGCATCCGCTGCGGAATATTTATCAGAATATGTAATGAGAGAATAGGAAGCAAGCTGATGTGACAAATATGCAAAAAAGAAGATAAACCATGCACAGAAGCAATTAAATCATTAACTCTGAGCGACGATCTCTGACGATGATTGATGTGCTCCACTTGAGTCGTCCTGCATGTTTCTTATCGTTGGTAGTGTGGTCCTTGTGCCGTTGTGCGAATGATTCTCAGATAACGATAATTACTCGTCTCATTTGTGTGGCTGAAACAAGGTTTTAGTGTTAAGAGCCTTTGTTAAATACTTAAAGTTAATCAGTAGTTATTAGAAATATTGTGTAACTAAAATTACCTTTTTCTCTGATATTTCGATAGCATTTGTTTCATGGTTGGTAGTCAGAGAAATGATGATTAATGGAACTTAGTGATTTCATCTATCTTTTTTTTAAATATTTATTATTTTCAAAAATTTTCGTATTTTATCAAACAGGTCAAACACCATAACATATAAACAGTGTATACACAATGTAATCATATAGCAATTAAAATATGTAGACTTAAAATGTATTTCTTATTTAGTCATTTAGGGCCACAACCAGGACTTTAGGGAGTGGTTGTTTATGAGGGTGGGGAGATACCTCCTCCTGGTTTGGTAGATACCGCCCCCTGGTTTTTTCCTGGTGCAGAGCTCCAGTTAAAGTCAAGGAACAGATTAATTAAACATTTCTAGCACAACATATAATTTAAAGAAATCTAGTAAAATCAGATTCATACAGTATGTCTAAATGTGTTTTTCTCCCTTTTTTCTTTAATCTAAATATTTATTCCCTCAAGACAGAAACTAAACCCAATTTCCTGAGCAATTTCCTCAGTTTAGTCTTGTGGAAAATTAATGAGGCATTAGCCTATATGTATAATATCTAGACCTAATCTCAGGCACTAAGGCGCAATATGGGTCGTTCTCGTCTCAGATGGGTTGTTAATTACAGATTCTGGGCATAGGGTAATGTGTATCATGATGTAAGTACACTGAGCAGTTGCATTGTTTATGTAATTAGTGGATGTTTTGTTTACATCAGGATTAATGTATAATGACATGCTTGTCTCTAACCCATTCCAAATAGTTCATTGTCTCTGTAGGCAGTGGTTTTAAACAAAACCTTAATGAGATATCTATTTACTTTTATATACATTGCTATTAAAAAATTTAAAAACCCTTTCAATCAACAATGTTTTCAATTGTGGAGTTTTAACCAATATTGATTTCTATCGTTTGCTAGTTTGAAAAAAAAATTCAATGAGAAATTATTATAACAAAATATACATACCACTAATTGATTAACTATTAAGTTAATGAAAAATTGTATTTGAGATAATGACTAAAGTATTTAGGTGTAAAAAATATTTAAACAATAAATTTACAGGAATTATTTAATATTATTTTATTTACTACTTAATAGATCAACCGTTTTCGAAAAAAACTAATGATACGGAATTCATGTGCACGAGTGTATAAGGATGTTCGCTTACTGGTAGTCCACACCAAAATTGAAAGTTTCTCTCAGATTATTGGTGTTCACTGTCTTTGACCTTTTGAGGTCATCCATTGACCTTAAAACCATGATGTATACTTAACCTTCTACAAAAGTACTTAAATGTTCAAGTTTAACAAGATTTTAAAAATTACACAATCTACAGGACATAAATTATCACAATACTTACTTAATTACAAGGTAAATATTTGTACTTAATTTGCTGAGGTTGTTATATAAAACAGGTACTTATTCACTGACAGATACTGATAGGCTGAGCAGCAAATTTTGTTGTCATGGCACCTCTTCATGGACGGAAATGGCAGTCTCAGACTCAAATTTGACATGCATAATTATTTTGTTTTTCTTTGTGTCTTTTTTAATTTTCAAAAATGTAAGGGGAGGGTCGACTGGGCCTCTTTTCAATTCACCCCTGGTAATCAATCTGTGACAAAAGCTAGTATGGTAAAGTATAAGTTGACTAAATTAAATCTTTAATAGGAAACATAACATCAACACCTGAAGTTAGAGAGTTGGCTTATAATGTGTTAATATATATACCAATTCAGTAACAAAACTAAACAGTATTCAGTCAAATCACCAAATTGGGATTTATATTGTCTCATGTATTAAATTACAATGGCTATAAAGAATTTGCAATGCAGATTACAAAATCAATGAAACTCATTATTCATAAATAAGAATACAAGCAGCAAGTCAGCTGCCATGTTAATTAGCTGTTGTATGTAATTAAGCAAATCTGAGTATTTAAGTTTTTTGTCTGCAATCCTGTTTGCTTTAATAATGCCATATCAAGTGTTAATCGCTGTATAGCTAGAGGGAATTGAAATCATATGCGTTCTGTTGTTAAGCATGAAATCCAAGGCTGCTTATTCCAAGGAAGCTCTACTGTACATGTTTACACCTGTATGTTACTATGGAAACAAAGAGGGAAGGGTGCCACTGAGGAAATTTCTTTTAAGGCATAATGTAATTTACATCGTCTTTGTGGTTAAACGATATTAACAGGTTTTTATTGTATTTAATTAAGTGTAGTATGAACGTTTTATATATCATTTAATATTCTTTGATAATGACCTTTTATTGACCTTTGACCTACAACTTTTTTTTCCATTTTTCAGGAGGGAAAGCCTTAACATTACCAAGTCGTAGTGGTAAGTGTTATTACTGCAACTATATACTCGTCTGCTTCTGCACTCTTTGTTTGAAACTTATTTATTATATGTATTTATACATATTGTGTATAACATGTGCTTATAATGTAGTATTCATATAGATACTCTATATTATACGGTATCCTTTATGGCAAATCGAAGATTGCTAAATTTACACTATTGATAGACGTTTGCTTTTAGTATTAAATTGTTTTAAACACATGGTAACATAAAAATAACACTACTTGCAAACCTCAACACTTTCTGGTCATTTGCAAGATGACTATGATTTTTGTTATCCAACAAAGATACCTGCAAAAGTGTATATTATTTGCTTCGCATATCAACATTAATTGCAATCTCCATACTTTAGCTTTTATATATTTTATAGCTATTTCAAAAATGCATGCTTGATATGATATACATTAGGAAGATCCAGAGACTGAAAATTTTATTGGGATAATTTAAATTGAGCTGTTACAATGGTCGGTGAGGATATGTGGAAGTTGGATATAGGTAAAATGGAAGAAGTGTGGGAGTGGGGAGAATGTGGTACCATGTAGGGTGGTGATAGTTAGAGGTATGGGTTGGAATGTTTAGAGATGATGGATAAATGGAAATGATTAGAGGTGTGGGTGGCAAGAGGTAGAGGTGCTTGTTGGGGAGGGGATGCAGGTACAGGTGTGGTAGGGTGGAGACAGGTAGAAGTGTTTCTAGGGTGAGGACGGAGGGTGGTAGGTGGTAGGTAACGTGGTGTGGGTGGGAAAAGAAGAGGTTGAGGTGTGGGTGGACCCATTTTCTAACTCTGGATCAGCCTCTGGTATATATTCAGCTTTGTCATTGTCATCCTTGACTGTACATCTGCTTTGAGTTCCCCCTTGTTAACCAAAGTCCGATGGTGTCCCTTGTTGTCACTAACCCTCCTCTAGGTCTGCCGGCTAACCCTCTGTATGGCATGTGCCGATCCACATCAATTGGGTCGTATGCTGAACTGTACCCTAATCGCTCTATGGAAGTTTTAACCAACCTGCCTAACCGGCGTTCTTCCGATTCCATCACCTCTGCTTCTTCATCGGGTACGTGGTCAAGTAAAGGTAAGTGGGGATCACTTCAGTGTCACTAACATTCTAATCGACATTCTTATTGTACTATATTTAATCGAATGAATGCCCCACTTTGAATAAATTCCACCCTCGAAGCAACATCATTCTTAACACATTCTATTAACGTTGCACTCCCGTAGAATTATATGTTTCTAACCTTTATGATTTTTATGGTAATTATATGTTGTATTTCCACATTTACAGTGAAATTATGGGGTATTTGTTTAAGTATATATGTATCCATTTTACACCAAAAAAATACACCCCTCCCTCAAATCAACACCTCCCTTGAATGAACGCCCTTCTCAAAACCTTTCTCAACAATACACGCCCCGGGGCATTATCTTGAATAAACACGGTACATGAGAGGTAACATAGTATTTAATGCTGTATTTCTATTATGTCTGCTTTTGCGTAGGGATGCTTACTCCGTTTTTAATCCCATCTATATGTTTGTTCCTTTTTTACCTAATAAACATATATTTAATTACAATACTTCCTATTTGCTCTTATATTTTATGATAATGTTTCAATATATATATATATATATCACAAAATTGTGAGGTTCCATGTGTGTTTCAATATGATAATAATAGAATATAAGAAATGTATACCATGTATGGACTTTAGAAACACTTCACTTTGTTTATTTTATGTAGAAACACTTCATATTTCTTAAGTCTATACATGATATTCTTTTATTTTAATTACTATAAATTGACCTATTACTATAATATTTCAGAATTAACACTATCTAAATATATATTTTTATAATAAAAAATTAGAGAGGAAGGAAGAAACAAATTACAATATACATTTTTATACAACATTTGTACTCTTTCTCGAAGTGAGACAAAAGGAGAAAGGATAATACACAGAACACTATAGAAAAATGTGTTTAGATTGCTTATATATTATATAATTAAAATTATGTAAATTGAGCTGAGATATCAATCATTATGTAACAAATGCAATTTATTTTGAAAGGCGAATTGTAAAGGGTAAGATCGATAATTTCAATTCACAGCAAATGAAGAAATTAGCTTTATATTATTAGAATCTAGGAAACTCCATGAAGATTAATGAAATGATATTCTTGTGGTTTTATTATCAGGTTAATGTGTAGTTTATACTAGTAGGGAAGTTGGGGAGGGGGGAGGGAAAATGCAAGGAAAAAATTGTAGAGGTACAATGCAATAATTACATAAATAAATAAGCATCCAAATATATAGCTTAGTGGGCATCAACCTCCAATACCCCTCAGGGGCACTGCTCTTAAACCCTGCTGTTGCCCCTTTGCCAGACTTCAGATTGGGATTTCAGGGCCCAGGGCAACTCTTGGAATTAATGTCATTGTTATTTAATTCCATTGTTAAAGTAGACAATACTAATTTTTGTTGCTTGTATTCTATCTATTTCACAATTAAATATTTATTTTTTTTTTACAGATTTATCAGATTACATGCAACCATCGAGACAGCAATCATCAATCCCGCAAACCCCTGCAACTTCCAACATGGCTCCCATGCCCTTAGCAACCGTTGCCTACCAGCAGTCCTATGGCTCTTCAAGCTCAAGGGTGAGTAAATTATAATGCATGACAAATTAGGTAATTAATTTACTGAGGCCTCAACTATTATTTTGTGAAGCTGAAACACTATTTAATAAAGTATCGTATTGATTCAGTGATCCCACATACTTCACAGATGGATTGTGGCTCCAGCCTGGACAGGGGATCAGCTGGTCAGACAGACCACACCCAATGTCAGCCTTGACTTTTGGGACTACGAAAGAGGAAAATATTTTTTAGCCATAATCTGCACATCATGTCATTTAATTTTGCCCTACCTGACGTGGAAATGTACCGAATACTCAGTACATTTGAAAACAACTGCGAAAAGAAATCGCAAGTTGTTCTCAGGTGGGACTCGAACCCATCGATCTCCAGATCACTAGCCTGGCATCATACCTCTAAACCACCGAGCTTGCGTCTGATGGCCAGGGTTGAATTCGAGTCCAAGTAAGCAGCGGCTACTACATAGAAAAGCCTAAAATGGTTCCAAAATCACATTTCTTTCATAGTTGCATTTCATCAATTAACTTTGTTTTTCGTAGTATGCCGCAGCAGCCTTACAGAGGAAACGTCAAGAAAGCCACGAAGTGATACCAAACAGTAGCAATTCTCCTGTCCCACCTGTAGTTTCCATGGGAACTGTAACGCAAGGTATTAACCAGGCATCATTTGTTTTGAATCCTCTATGTTAAGCTCTGTCTACACTATCAAATTGTCTTTGATAAAATATTGTTATATGCCCATATATAGTCTTGATGTGCCTATATATGGTCATGATGTGATGTCATTATGTTTATATATAGTCATGATGTGCCTATATATGGTCATGATGTGATGTCATCATGACTATATTAAAGCATCTCACATGTTTTTGTCAAATAAAATTTGATAGAGTGGACAGCGTCTAAACTTTGTAATAATGCCATTGACTTTACCACAAATAGGAAAGTAAAGAATAGCTAATATACAAAACACTGAAAAAGAGAAATAACAAACAGATAAGAAAGGAGAAGTATATGTGGATTTATAGAAAGACTGGAAATTAATTTAATTACTTTGGAGTGTTGTGCATTGCTTAATAATGTACATTTCTTATTAATTTATTTATTATTTAATTATTAATTTATTTTATTTATATTTTTTTCAATTTTATTTATTCTAATTACAACCTAAAAATTCTTAGCTGGTATGCAAAATGTTGTTATAATTATTATTAATTTTTTTATAGATTTATATGCTTTATATAGCTTCAATTCATTATATTAATTTCATTTTCAACCATAGATGATCTTTCAAGGCGACACTGTCCGGCCTCCATCAACAGACACAATGTCGCGCCTCAACAGTGTAACCAGAACGCCTGGCCAAGGAGGCCAACTCAAAATGGCAACCTTTCAGAGGAAGAGAGCGGTGTTGATGTTAGCTCATCAACAGAAAGTATGGAGAGGAAACAAACTTCACAGCAGGTTTGTATTATATAATAATAATAATAATAATCATAATAATAATAATAATAATAATACAGTATTTATATAGTGCCTAAAGGATCACATCCCTCTAAGTGCTTAACCAGTGATGTTGTTCATATTACCCCTGGTCATCGGATTGATAATCAAACCAGCACAAAGTGCAACCTCCTCCACTCCCTGGGGAGTATTCCTAGTTGTTCAAGCAATTTAATACTGAACAGACTAATACATGCAATGCCACATCATCCAACCAGGTACGCATTTATACTCCTGGGTGGAGAGAGGCAAACGTAAGTAAAGTGCCTTGCCCAGGGACACAAGCAATGCGACGAACGCCGGACTCGAACTCCCGATCTCACAGGATTAGCAGCATAATGTTCACTAAACACCACAAAAACCTAATAAAGCAGTCCACTCCCTCCTGTTGCTTCCCAAAATTGGCCCTGCAACCTTGCTTTCTATCCCATATCAATTGGCCCTGCAACCATGCTTTCTATCCCATATCAATTGGCCCTGCAACCATGCTTTCTATCCCATATCAATTGGCCGTGCAACCATGCTTTCTATCGCATATAAATTGGCCCTGCAATCATGCTTTCTATCCCATATCCTTTCACACTCAGTAAGACCAGGCACTCACTACATCCAACTCAGCTCTCTGTGAGTGATAGACGACGCAATGCTGTTTGCTGATTGTTGGTGACAGTCTGAACTGATCGTCATTAAAAACGATCCGTTGCACGCACGTCCTTGCGTTCTTTATAGAATTGCGTCGGCCGACGACAGTCGTGTAAAAATAATGCTCGGCTTAAGGATAAGGTGTGATGTTTTAAGCGTGTTGTTTTCAATGTAAATGATATATTTTTTCTCTCTAGCATGGTGTAATCCATCAAGGTTGGATGGGTATCTCTCACTCGGACCATAATATTAAGCCTTGCCCCCCACCAAAACCAAGCAGGAGCTGTGAGAACGTCCTTGCACACGAGTCGTTGGCTACAGGTAATAATAATATTAATCCACGTAAACTATACTAATCGTAAATAAATTTCTTATCCAAATAAAATACTGGAGTAGTGTCCCGAAGTAGCCCAGCCTCATGAGTAGCAGAGGCCCAAGAAGCCTTAGCCATGGCCTCAGACCTTTTGTTACACCACTAAAGCTCGTAACTTTTATTCATTAGAAACAGTAAGACTTTCAGTGCTTGTAGCAAATATCACTATACATATTTGATGCAGGCATGCTAATTGAAGAAAGTTGTTCATAAGTCCACTTAACATTAAGACTGCTGTATATGCTTACACCATACGAAAAGGACACCGGTGTAAGCAAATCAATAACTCTTTTCTGCGCTATTCCGCAGAAGACTTTAAATATCAGGATGGCCCAGTAGATGATAATGCAATATAAATAGCTTTGATTTTTTTCTCCACAGCTCCACAGCGTCCATATAGTGATTGTCCCCCATTGAAAAGAATTGAAACTGAAATACCATCATTAGATGCTAAAGTAAGTTCCAAATTTGTCCTTTTCTTTTTTGTGTACCACTATAAAATAAATACATTTTATTATGCCAACCATCCATTTCGGCTGTATGAAGTGTACATGTGTAGTCCTATCAATTGTACTATCACCTGTGAAATGTTTAACGTGATATGGGCATTATTCACACACTGTGTTTCTGTTCATTTATTTAGGATGCTGATAGGATCTATGAATGGTTAAAGAGACTTCGATTACCAGAGTACACCAATAATTTTACAAAAGCAGGCTATGACATGCCTACTATTGCCAAGATGACCCCAGAGGTATAATTTGAAATAATTGTTAGTATAAAGATCCTGTAAAGATAACATTTCAATGCAAAAGCATTGATGAAGGTGTATATTAAGGTGGTGATGGTGATGATGGAGGCAGTGGCCATGATGGTGTTTGCAATGGTGATTGTGGTTGCGATGAGGATGATGGCGGTGGTGATGATGGTGGATGGTTAGGAGAATGAAACAAAAATTATGATAATGATGGCAGCTGAGGCGAATGAGGCAACAACAATGACATTGTTAGTGATTGGTGGTAGATGAATTTTAGTTTTGTTTTGATAAATTTTGCAGGACCTTACTGCTGTTGGTGTAACTGTGCCAGGCCACCGTAAGAAGATGTTTGCCATGATCCAGCAGATGAAAGAAGCAGATGTTGCCCCAAATTTTAAACCAGTAAGTGGCGTAGATATCATTGTTAAGTTGTTGGCGGGCATCATTACATCACAGAGGAAGTTAATTCATTGTTTGATTTATTGATTGATTTTTGAACAAATTATTGAAGGAATGACAGAAGGAATAGAAAATTAATTAAGCAATTCGCTAAATATAATGTATTGTATATATGTTGAAGCTTGCGGTACACCACATAGGTAGTGAAAAGAACTGTTGTTGTTGAGAAAGTCTCGACGTTTCGATTGAGATGCTTGAATCGTCTTCAGGAGAATAATATATGTATAAATAAATGTATGTATAAATATCTGTATATATGTATAAATATCTGTATAAATAAAATAATGTACTGTATATTTAATATTAGCATCTATCAATAACAGATCACATAGTAAATATTCTGGAATTTTTCTCTAATTGTTCAACTTGCTTAAAATATAATATTTTTTTTTATCTCATAGCCTGATGTGCAATCCTGGCTTCGGATCCTCGATCTCCAGTCCTACTACAACACCCTCATATCAAATGGTTATGACCAGATAGAGTTCTTGCAAGACATGACATGGGAAGACCTTCAGGAGATTGGCATCATTAGGCTTGGTCATCAAAAAAAATTCATGCTAGCACTGAAACGTCTAAGAGAGATCAAGAAGCATGAGAAGCAAGCTCTTGATGCTGCTTCCATTGAGGATTTGACCATTGATAACCAGAAAATCACCAGCTCACCTTCCTTTGAAAATGTGACAATCACTGTAAGGCACAAATCTGCAATTCAGGGAAGTCTTGAGAGTATTGGTAGTGATATATCAAATATATCTGGAGGATCACTTGGTTCCAAAGGATCTAATGAGAGCTATCCTCGTAAACTGATGCTCCAACGGAACCCTAACATGGCAATGAATAATCAAGTAACCTCTTCATATGTGCCTTGTATGACAACTGTTAAGTCTTCTCCAACAAAAATATTTACTGGACCACCAGAGAAAGACATCCCAGAAGAACATGATGCAGACAGTGTTTATCAAAATGTGTCCTTCTCTACTTTTAAACAAGCCAGTTCTGAATCACCACGAATGGCATCCACTTCAATACCTCCTAGATCTTTAAGCATAGACAGCACAGATATGGCACAGATGGTTCATAGAAATTCATTTGGTAGTAGCAGTACCTCATCTGGTGCATCTGATCAAGGTTCTCTGAAGGAGACTAAAGGAAATAAAGGAAGTCCATTAGCCATTCCAAAGCGTGGAAGCTCTATGCAATCTATGTCTGATAAACCTCTGATGACTGCCACAATTGGTCGCAGAAAGTCTTTGAAACAATTCAAAGCTGCGCTAGATAATGGCACAGCTATTGATGCTCTGCGGTCAACACAAGTTCCAGGCTATGCCACAATCAAACGAACCCCTTCTCGACGAACAGATCCTGTGAGATTACACCGCCATCTGTCTCAAGAACGAGATAGTTCAAATCTTAAAAGGCCATCATCTAGTGGAAGTCTGACTAGCGACACAGCGATAGAACAAACAGATAGTGACTCACTAAATGAGAGCTATATGCTTCCAGATGTAACACAATCTGGAGAGACACATAAAAATATAAGAGGTAGCCCAGTTCATGTAATCAATAGAACCATGAGTAATGGAAATCTTAATAGTGATGCTGGTAGTGTACCAGCAAACTACCATGTTCACAGACAGCAATACCGGGATCATAGTAATGGAAAGGGACCTCTTCCTAATTATTATCAAACTTTAAGAAGACCTCCCAGAAAAAATGAACCACTTGCAGATGACTTCCGTCCTCGATCACGTTCTTTCACAGACAAAGATGAACATATGCAGTCTCCTGTTAAAAGAAGTCCACCAGTCTCCTTTAGGACATCATCAAATGAAGGCATTGATAAAAATCACTCAAACAGAGGAAATCACCTTCAACAAAATATTCCAAAGCAAAAGAATGTTTTAATTCAGCAGCAGAATATTCTGCCCCAACAACAAAATATTGCACCACAATTTTCTAATGATTCTTGCTTTAAGAAACCACTTCCACCACCAGCACTTGTTTCTGCTGCTTTGAAACCAGAACATTCCCAATTGATGACTACCAGCAGTGTTCCATCTGACCACAGTCAAATTGAAAGTAGCCAACAGCCACCACACTCTCAGAATGTAATGGTGTCTCATGAAGTTCCCAACAAGGTTAGACAAAAACCAGCAATACCTGCAATGCCTTTAAACTTAAAACGAACACAAATTAATAATGCTATTAAGCAACAGCAGCAAAAGTTACATGAGCAACATAAGCAACAGGTGCAAAAACAACAGGAATATCAACAGCAACTTCAAGAAAAAATGAAAATACCTCAACAACAAATGCAGCAGCATGCCCAACACATGAAGCAGCAATCACAACCCCAACAACAAATGCTAAAGCAGCATGCCCAACACATGAAGCAGCAATCACAACCCCAACAACAAATGCTAAAGCAGCATCAAGAAATCTTGCAACAAAAACATCAGCAACACATACTGCCACAGCAGCAGTTACAGCAGCCGTTACAGCCGCAGTTACAGCAGCACCAAAAGCCGTTGCAACTGCAGCAACAAACACAAGTACAACAACTACAATATCAACAACAGCAACATCAACAGGAAATGGAAAAACAACTTCAAGAGCAGGTAGAAACAGATCAAACTAAAAAAGTACCTGGATTCCGTGTGTCATCCTTTGGAAAGAATAATAATCCACCAAAGAAACCAACGCGTAGTAGTTCATTACGTCTAGAATTAGTAACTGCAGCCAGCACTGTTACACCTGTACCCACACCTGTAAATGTGGTACAAAGTCCAAGTAAAAAGGATGTAGGACAAAATATACACTTGCGTATGGCAGAACAGCAGAAAACAATGTCTGATATGATTAATTACAGTAAAACTCAGATTGAGCAGCAGAATTTTAGAGATAATATTCAAAATAACCCAGGTGGAAGTTTGCATAAACCACCTATTAAGAAAGAGGGGGAAAGATGCTCACCAGTACCACATGGTGAAACTTTTCAAACAGAAACTGGACCCTCAAAGACTGAAGACAACAGGTGTTTGTATCCCCAGCCACTATTAAAAACTGTTGAAAAACAGGGTAACCAAAAATTACTTACATTGTCACCTAAAAGGAATTTTTATCAATATTCTGATCATAAATTTAGCCAATCAAATTATGCAGCATCAGAATCTCTTCAAATTGAGAAAGACAGAGAGGAAGGAATCCACCGGCCTAAGACTGCCAGTCTAGGTGCCAATAGCACAGATACAGTCTTGCGCTTGCATTCTCCTAAGCACCGTCATAGCTCTGACACTAGTCCTGATGAAACTTTTGTTGAACCAACTCCTCAGCTTTTAGCAAAGGAACAGCCAATAGATACAAAGTTGCTTGTCAAGGAACCGAGTGTTGATCTGTACTCAGCAGATTTTGATCAACTAGATGGCATGGATGATGCTGTAGAGTCAGACAGCAGTGATAATTTAGATATGCTGTCAGGATTTGAAAATGAAAACACAGATACAATCAAGAAACAACCCACCAAACAAGTCCTACGAGAAATCAATTATGATGATACACTAGGTGATATACAGGTGTCTGGGTCAGAGCAAGGTCATTCTGTTGATGAAGGTGAGATATTTATATATAGCGAAGGAGCTAAAGACACATCAAAGAACAGGGTTGACTTTTTCAGGAAATTTAATTATAACAAAATATTTTATCTTTAAAAATTTATCAGTGACTATTTTCTTTACTGGTATAAATATGGTTTAAAAATGATGGATGAATATTGTATTTAAGTTCTAAATTATTTCATCCCTGTTCTTTGTGTGTTTGTTCCAAACTCATTTCTCAATACCAGTTATAAAGCATTTTTTTTAATTGGTGGATTATATTTGATGTTGCTTGGATGATTTGCACTACAAACAAAATTAAAATGTACTCTTATTATTATTCTTTAGATCTTGATGATCTTGAAACACTGCTACTAAGAGGAGATAACATTGATCCAAGTGGATTAAGGTCATCACTTGATATACCTCCTCCACCAATTGAACCAGATTACACTGAATATCCAGGTGCAAACTTAAATATATCTGAAGATGACCTGCCCCTACCACCTCCCCCACCTCATCTACTTCCACATGGGTGAGTGTTTTCTTTATAGATTCTGAAAATAATTACTGAAAATAGACAGTTAAAACACATTATAATAATTGTAATTATTTTTTCTATTTTGAAACTTTCTCTTTCCTACGTCTCCTTCTCAAGCCCTCTGAACTGCTGGACAGGGTACATTATGACAGATCCCAGCCCAGCGATGAGGGCGTATCCCCATGCTAAGGTTTGGGTGCTGTATTGGGGTTCATCTTTCCTTGTTTTTTTTGTTTTGTTTTTTTCATTATTATTATTATTATAATACAGTGGTAAAAACCAAAGCTGTACTTGACAAGAGAAATCTTTTATTTTAACTTCGTATTGCCTTCTTGTTTAACTCTTAGTATATTATGCTTTTGGAATTTGGCAATAAAAGTGAAATGAATGAATGAATGAATTAATATATTACATCTGTTCACTTGTTTTTGCTCATAAATACCCTTATATTTTGCACAGCATAATACATAATCTTTAACCTTTAATTAAATTGATATTTTTCCATCGTCTTTCAGGTCAGAAGGTGCTGTATCTGAGCAAATAGATGTGTTTGATGACATTGAGTCCATGTTTAACAACCTTGCAGAAGATTTAGCTAGCATGATGAAATAAAAACACTGAAGAAAGCAATAACAAAAAGCAACAGATTTTGTCAGAGAAAAAAAACCACGCTGTGGTTATGTAGCAAGATCATGAAGTTTGCAAAGTGTAGCATTGAGCAAAGTCTTGCTACATCATGCAAAATGGTTTTGCTACATTTGCAAATGTTTTAAAATGTTATTAGAATATACAGTATCTTTTTAAGTGTTTCTAAGCAAACAACTCCTGCAATAGTGGTTGAAAAACCCCTCACAGGAAGAAAAATACCATCAAAAATTGTTTGCAGTGAATTCCTCTGGTCTATAAGTGTTGGCAATTGATTGATTGAATTCAAAAGACAAATTCTTGCTGTTAGAGGATGCAATAAGGAACACAGATAAATATTATGTTGATCAGTAGTGCAATCCAAATCAAGAACTGGAGTTTCGTAGCCAGCTCTTTATGAACAGTTTCATCACATTGGATATGTCTTAATATTGCAGTCTTCATGGTATCTTGGCTGTGCATCTTGAAGACCAATGTCATGTGATTATTGTAATTCAAGCATTTACATGTGTACTGCAAGCCTCATTATGTTGTGACGTAAAATTTGATTTAAATGTAAAACAGCGATGTCACTAAGCAGTGTTGGTGACCAAGTCACTGAGCATTGTGTATCATTGTTTGTTCCTGAGCAATGTCAAACAAAAAGTGATTACAAAGACTCAATGGAAGAGATAGGCAAACAGCCAAATAAAATATGTGTAAAGTGATTTATTTTTGAAGTTTAAAAACAGTATGCTGCTTAATAAGTTTACAATTATTTATTACATTTTAATTATGAAGAAGTTGTACTTAAAATTGTAACATTTTGATAGAATTGTTTTTGTGTGTTTATAGATGGACTTTCTGGAGTCTTAATGCTCTACCAGGTTCCATTCTAAATTATATTATTTTATCAATATTTATTTATTTATTGTTATTTCCATAATTTAATTATTCTGGAAATTGTCCCCTTTTTTTGTTATTGTTTTACTTTATAGTTATTAAAAATCTGATAGTAATTATTATTTATCACTGTTATTATTTGTTTATAATTATTAGTTGAATATTTCTGGGATATAATTTTGAGGTTAATGTTGATTAACAATAGTTTCAGTTATGACTGAATATCAAACAGTTGATGCAGTCATCTGTTTTTTTTGTTCCATTAATTTTCTGTTCATTTATGTTATAAAAACATGTTGGTTAGCAGGAACCATATAATGTAAAACCAGCTAATATTCAGGTGCTTTTAATTATTTCAGTAATAATGTTTATATTTTTGCTTGCCTCCTTCCTAACATATCAATTATTGTATTTAATTTCCAATATAAATTACCTGGAAAATGCATTTTTTTTTTTTGTCATCTAGAGATTTATGCCGAAGTGCTCACGTGTCAAAGCCAAGGAGTTTACACCTTATTGATGTGTGTGGCCAAAGATCATATTCATTTTATTTTTGTCTCATATCAACCATTGTCTTTTTGCTGCCCTCTATAGTTCTTTTTTTCCCATATTATGTAACTGCTTATATTTAGCATGATTTTCCATTTTGATTCCACTTATGCCTGATTGACCATTTGTTTTCATTGGCATGTCCTTTTATACAAACAAACCTTGATGAAATTTGCCTTTACGTTTAGGGGGCCTTCTGACCTTAAATGTTCTACCCCAAAACCCCCTGCATCCCCTTAAATCCACCCTACAGTCTACCACTGTCACATATCTTATTGTAATCCAAACATTATAATCATTTTGATTTTTATTTAATATTTATTGAAGTTAATATTCTTTTCATATCATATTCAGTTGGAATATTTATCATCTTTATATAAATTTAGTGATATTTAACATTGATCTCACAGCGATCAAATCTTGTGTTCTTTGAGGCTTATTAATATTATTACCTCAATATGTATGATACAGTTTTTTAATATTTTTGTTTAATTTATTTCTGTTTAATGTTTTCCTTGTATTTTTATAAGTATATTAACTTGATTTATATAGTATGAAGTTAAATTTCTGCACAAATTTACTAGTTATTTAGTTTTTTTTACTTGTAATTTAACATTGTTCTTTCTATAAATGTAGTATATACTTATTTTGAATATTGACCACGTTTGCGCTCAGACTGATGCAAATTTGTTTTGTACCGATAAATGTCTTCTAATTTTGGAGAAAAACACTTATTACTTTGTACAGATGTAAGATACAGTTAGTGCAGAGTGTATGATTAAGAAACAAGTGTGTTTCGTTAGCTAAAACCAGGAGTAATTGTACATAGGTAGATTTCGGTTTTTACCTCAAATTAACAAAATGTGAGAATTGCGTTCCTAGTACAGTATCTCTATTACAGTATCATTGGATGTATGTTTAGATGCCTTTAAATCAACCAGTCTATTAGGAACTAATGTTCAATTGTGCTAAAACCTATCAAAATGTTGTTTGCTACAGTTGTAAGAGGCAGTGGCAAAACATGAAGGGAGCTCCTCATCTGCTGTGGGAGATAGGAAAGTCGGTGGGCGCATACCCGTGGATACACCGTTCTGCGCAGATGAGCTAACCCAGGGTCATCGCCATGTGACTTCCAGGGGGTCATCACTACACTTGGTGTCCATGTATTTCAGTAAAACTCTTCAAGAGCCCATAAGTATTACACCACTGGCAAGGGTATGGTCTACTATGAATGTTTCTCATGAAAACTAAGAACACAGTGGATTAATAATGGGGTTACAACAGTATGTTTATAATGTTAATCGTAAGTGTAATAATAGTAGTAGGTGTCAGCATCCCTTCATCCTTTTGGACAATCGTCCAAATGGGTAAACTACTTGTATGAAGGGTGGGTTACACATGTTAATATGAATCATACAGTAGGTGTAATCATACAGTGGTAGGTGTCAGCATCCCTTTACTCTTTAATGGAATAATCATCCAAAGGGTAAACTACTTGTATGAAGGGTGGGTTACACATGTTAATATGAATCATACAGTAGGTGTAATCATACAGTCGTAGGTGTCAGCATCCCTTTACTCTTTAATGGAATAATCATCCAAAGGGTAAACTACTCATATGTGGTAAGTGGAGGGATCATGTTGTCATTTGTAGAAACATGCAGTGTATCACTCCCCTTCATTCAAAGTGGTAAGTCCCATTTCTATACTATTATAGGCTTGTGTTCCATAGGTGTTTACTCCATTGACCAGGGTAATGATTATGTGAAGTGCATAGAGGTCACATCATAATGCACCATTATTGTTATTATATGAGGAAAATTATGAATTTAGAAAGTTACATGTTCTCTTATACTAGCTATGGTTGATCAAGGGTAGGGGAGAGAAAGGGTACCTTTCTTCCCCAAGACTATGGCCCTGTGCCCTATTGTTTTCAAAATTCTTTGATTTGCTTCCAAGGTACAGTATCTGTAAATATGTTGGATAGAATGGAATTGTAAGTTTTAATACAATGAAGGATAAGGAAGTCCTATTGAAAGAGCCTTGTCCTGTGTTAAATTATGGAATATATAAAGTACAAAAATAAATAACAGAGGTCATAAGAGCCAAGTTGGTATTGTACAAGAGTTTATTCTTCTACAGCATCAGTCAGTAGTTACACCCTGTTACTCAGGACCTCAGCCAGTCAGTGCCTGTGGGATTTTGATTTGTTGTGTTCAGATTCTGTAATAATCGGGAGTAATAAAGATTTCAGCACCCAATCGCAATGGGTAAAAATTGCGACAGCGATTACTTAACTGATATTAGTGAGCTTTTACACACGATTGTGAATTATGATTGGGTGTCGCAACTGCTACAACCGATCGCAATGTGATGTTAGTCTGAATAGGGTATAAGTCGCACTATAACAGCACCACTGCAGACATCAACACCATTGAAGAAATACTACCAATCTGCTCAAAATATTTAATTTATTGATACATTTATTAATATTAAATATAGTACTGTACTGTCAGACAGCGATAAAAAAATTCTTCAAAATGTTCTGAGCTTTAACTGTGTTGACATTGTCATTTTCAGGTGATAGATAATAATGATTAAATAAATTATCATTTATAGTCCGTTGTCTAAGGCTCCTGGATTGAGGACATACTGTGTCATTCACCATGTAAACATTCAAGACACTGCATATTTTACTATGTGATGAGTCTTGGGGCTATAAATGATGACCATAGTATAGATACCTGAAAATAAAAATGTATAATTTTTTTGGTAAATCTAATGAGAAAATAGTATTATTGATTATAATAACTTTTAATACATTGTGTTTAATTAATGTTGATAAGATAGGAGTGTTTTTGGTGTAAATCACACCAAGGATAATCCATTAGTGAACTGGACAGTACACCGGGGCAGGGAACATCCCCCTACTCTTTTCCAAAGAGAGTATTGCATTCTATAAAGTGCAGACGGTCATAGTGCATACTGAACCAATGGCTTAAACGTCTCAACTGATAGTGCATGTGCGAGATTGTCATGATCATATGCACTGGTCACGCCAGGGGAACGGGAAATTTTCCCGTCGTTCAACGTCACAATGAAGTCGTCGGATCAAAAATAACAATCTGCCTATCCATACATAACATTATTTTGATTGCCCATCCCTAACATTGTGGTCTAATATTTGGGCCATACTAAGCCATAAAAACTTTGTAATCACTACCAGGGATTTTTATTCCGGGACCCTACCAAAGCTTTAGTCGGCCCCCTTGATTCGGACCTACCTCCATTGTCGGACCAATCGGCAAATTTCTGGAGGAACTGCCGAATACAATAATCAGATTTTTAAAAATTCTTGATTACAGTACTAACCTTTTTATCATCATTTGTGTTATCTTCTCTGTATTCATCTAGGTCCATTTCAAATCTTCCTTCTCTTTTGATTTTATCTTTTGAAGTGAAACCATCACTCAATTCCACGGTTACAGTTTGCGTGCCAATGTCATATTCCACTACTTTCCCTTCCTAAAAAAAAATTAAATCAAACTATATTACTGAGGGGAAAGGAAATTAGGAAAGGGTGGGAGTGTTGGAAGGGAGGGATATGTATGTACAGGAAGATGCTTGTCCACGGAGCTCATCAAGGGAATTAAGTGCATGCTCAAGGTGGAAGATATTTTGTTCAGGGTGCGACCAAGAATACATAAAAAGTTTTATTTTTACTTAAGCCAGGCACTCATTGCGTAGTAGAACGATTGTACGCCGAATCCAACTCCGCTTCCCGTGAGCGCTAGAGGATGTGATGCCGTCTGCTGAGTATAGGTGGCAGTCTGTTCAGACTGTCACTGAAAACGATAAGTTGCGTGCATATTGTGGCATTGTTCTCCATAGAATCGCGTCAGACAACGACCTTCGAGGGCAGTGAGTGAGTGCCTGGCTTAAAAAGAAATGGTTGATAATTTACCATGTATGAAGATACCTCAGGCAAGTAATTCTCTGTAAGTTCGATTACCTGTAAAATATCAAATTGGTAAAAATTATGTTTCATACATTATATACAAGGGTGTAGGCTGGTTTTGTGGGGTGCGAATGTTAATACAAAATTAAATCCCTATTCCAATGAAAACTTAAGGGTCATTTTTAGTATTTTAACCCACTTAGTGGAACTAATATGCTGCCACAGGCATTGGGGTAGAACTACCCAGCCTACGTCCATATTATGGGTAACATGATTGCTTATTGGGTGAGGTACTGTGCACTTCTCTTTTATCGGTCCAACAACACATCATTTTTTTGAGGATAGTACTACATGTATATACAATACGTTACCTTGTAGGCAATAAGATCCCCTACTCTTGGTGGCCCAATAAGGGGTTGTAGACTGTTGTAGTCTCTGGTTGGCGGAGCTGGTAAATTTCTTGTCTAATGTGACAAAAACAAATTCAAATTTGTAAGGTAACTTTTTATCAACATTATCATCTATCCAAGGGAGGGGGGCATCTAAATTTAATACAAATTTTTTAATGAAATTTAGGAAAAAAATCCTAAGTCCCCACAATTTAGTCGTTCAGTTAATACTAGTGTGTGTGTGGAGCCCTGGATATCTTTTAACGTATTCCTCACTGTGGCTTTGCACATATTTTCACAGTGTATTTTGCACTATTTGCAAATCAATTATATGCATACATAAGAGGAATTGTACCTTAAAATGACAATCATTCTGTGTTGTTTCTTGGGGAGGGAAAAGATTTATATTTTGATGACCCTTGAGAAGTGATGTTGATTTTTAGTTAAGAAAGATTGTGGTCTTTGCAATATTTTAACCCATGACCCATGGACTACTTTAACAAGCCATTCAATGCATACTCTACCTCCTCAGGTGTTGGTTCTTGCCCTGCTTGACCATTACAGTCTTCATTCTCTCCATCCTTCACAAAATAGTCAACTGTTTTGTCACTTTCTTTTGCATCGCATACCATTTCATTTGTCTCCTCTTGTTTCTCATTGACTACAATTTCATTGTCACAACCACTTTCTGAATCCGATGTAAAAAATATATGCTTTTTGTCACCCTTCTTTTTCAACTGACGAACATTCTTTGTTGCTTGGACACTGGCAGCATGAACTGCTTTTAATACATCCTCGTTTTTTTGATTACTACTACATAGTTTTTTAGCATGTTTTTTTTCAGAGTTCCAGATAATTGCTGGCTTTTTCTTGTGATCTTCATCTGAGGATGAAGAGTCATCTGATGATGAGCTATCACTAGTTGATTCCTTTGCTGCCGAATTATTTTTCTTATTGGTACCTGTTTGCTTTGAGGTGTTGTTTTCACCACGTAATGTATTCAATTTTGATGATGTTCCTGTTCTCAATTTACTTGCTTCTGTCTTTTTTTTTAACAAAGTACAACTATTTGATGAACTACCATTTTTTAACTTTACTTCTGCATCACAGCTTCTCTTATATTTTTCACTTTGTTCATCTGATTTCTTTTTCTTATTCTTTACTTTCTTCTTTGCTGTCTCATTGTCATTTGGGTTTTTTCCTTCCTGCTTTTTCCTTTTCAAACTATGTGTTTCAATTCCATTCACTTCATTTTTTCCCTTGACTGTAGGTGATTTACAATGCCTTCTCAACTGGCTGTTTGTTGTTATCTTCTGTTCTTCAATTTCGGGAGAAGTTCTTTTCCTTTTTTTGCTTTTTCTGACATCTGGTGTGCTTTCTATTTCAGCTGGTTCACTTACCCTGCTGTCAACCCTGTTTAAAAAATGGAATAATCTGTCAATACAGTATTATATTGTGTTCTTTTTACTACTAAGGTTAGTGCTACTAATGGAACGCCATCTGTTTCAACTACAAACCAGTTCTGCTGCAGTATAATTAAGAATGGGAGTTCCGTATCGTCAACCAACCATGTGCATCGCCCTTGATGGAATGTACTCTTAAACTTGATGTAATACTTTTTAAGGATTGAGAAATGCCTGAAATCATAAACTTTGAAATGTTTTACTTGACTCATTAAATACTGTACACATTACTGTACTTACTTTACAAATAAATAGGCATCTCAAATCATTTATTATATTATATTTAGGATATTTAAGTCTTTCAAATTAATCTATAACCCTCCAATTTTTCCATACATCCCGGTCAAAGTTGTTCGTCCAGAACGCTCACAGATAGGCCTAGGCC